CTTTTTTTACTTTTCTGCACACATGTGTACCATGCGGATTATGGTTAGAAGTCCACAGCCAAGATTGAAATCTGAGTATAATTAGTGCTTAGGCTTTTCCCGCTCTGCACACTAACTCTGTGGGTTGATGTTTTAGAGGGTATAAAAGACACCAGGGTTCTGATAGCACTCAATAGTTTTGTGTGAGCACAGTCAATCTGACTTAGACTTTTAGGGTGAGTAGTAGAGCTGTGAGAACTTCTAAGGATTTGATAGTAGTTCCTTATCTAAACACACACCCTCCTCCTTCCTTTCTGTCCCACATTCCTGGGTTTTGTCTTAATAGCACATTTGTGATTTCTGTGTTTATTATAATTAAATGGCATAACAAGGACAGAAAAAAAGTAAAAGGTGCTTGTATTTAAGGATGACTTATCCTAAGTCTGTGCAGGGGCTTCTCTGCTCACCCCTCTTTGTACCTGTCTTTTTCCTGCCTTCTCTAGACAGCAGTGCTGTGTTGGATCCTGTGGACCAAAAAAATTTGTTTTAGAAGCAAACCAATAGACAAACTAATGCTGACCTCACATTCTAACCCCTCTGCTGTTTATCATTCAGTTAGCTAGAAGGCACAGGCTTATCCCTTCAGTCTCTCTGAAATTCTAACAAGTATGACTTTAACTTGAAGAAAGAAAGGAGCTAGAAATAACATTCTTAGCAACCCAGAGTCCACTTACTGATTATTCAGTAGCTTAAGGTGAGTTTCTGAGTAAACGTAGACTGGAATTTAAAAAATAAAGTTGCTAGAATCACTATTCATTGTTCAAAGAGGGGGGAAATGGGTAGTAGATATAATATTTCACAGTAGTTAATAAAAAATATCTTATATTGAATATATGTGCTTGCCATTTCTCTAGCTAAAAGACAGTTGGATGTTGACAATTGCATGTGGTTCATCCTAATACAAAGACAATCCTCTTGACATCTAACCAGTTGACCAGGGAGCCTGTGCGCTTCATTTCCCCATAAAGCAGACTGCCTGCTGCCCAGGCTGCCAGTAGCCTGTTCCCTGTTCCAACTGCTAGGTTACTGACTCAACAATAGTCTATTGTATTTATTGCAAGCCTGTTGGTGCCAGTTACACTTGTTACTGTGATTAGATAATTTAAAAAGTATGAAAATCTATGAAACAAAAGTACAATTAGGAAGATTCCATAAAAGTTAGTGACTAAAAATGTGGGCAGGAAAACTAAAAGATTGGAGAGAAAATTATAAAAACTTGGAGGTAATAACCCAACCTTGCTTTACAAGTTTGTTTTGTGGTTGTTTTTTTAGTTTTTAATTCACTTAGAAAATTAAAACTGGAAATTGTAGAAAATAAACTTGGAATATGGTTTATATAAGAAAAATATCAGGGAGGTATTTCTCCTCAAGGAAAAGTTGAAACAGCTTTGGAAAATTGGAGACTTAATGCATATTTATGTGTCTTGAGGTTAAGTCAATGTTTATGGTGTATACATACTTTTTTGATTCTTTACTGTAAGCAATATTTTTGATTAACCGACCAGAACCAGTCAAAATTATTGCTGCTGTTAGTCTGACTATTATAGTTTATACCCTAGTATAGTTAAGTAGTCAGAAACTTTGCCTGTAGTTATTCTAAGGACATACATTAATAAAAACCACTTGAAATTTGCCATTGGGAATGTAAAAAGCAGAAGATTGCTTTTTCTTTGCTAAGCATACCATACTAATGAACTCATACTTCTCATTTTAAATTAGGGTTTTCACTTCCATGTAACATTTAAGTTTATTTTAATAATGTGAACCAATATGTAGAACCTAGAGCTGGTTCCTACCTCCCTTAAATGACTTCCATAAAAATTGAAAGCAAAAATACATAGTATAGCATTAGCTAGAATCTATTAAACTTGATAAATTTCTTAGTGCTGTTAAGCTGACAGGTTGAATTGGGCAAGATAAACCTTATTCTAGATTCAAACTAATTACAGAAGTGTAGTAGTTTTTCTAAAGCTTTACAAGTTAGTGAAAAAAGACTGAACTGATAAAATGAGAAAAATAAAAGTACATTTTATAATAATAGCATTATTGGACACTTGCTATGTGCTAGGCACTTTGCTAACTTCTACATATGCCTTATCTTATTTATTCTTCACAGGTATTGTTTCCATTTTACTAACAAAGAAACTAACTCATATAGAAGTCAAGTAACTTGCCCAAAGTCATATGGTTAGTAAGTAAGTAATGGAGCTGGAAATCAGACCCAGTTTAGTCTGAACTTCAGTGCTGATATGCCCATGCTTTTACCAGTGTATGAGGCAGCAATGCAGCACTTTCCATCTGAATTTCTGATATTGGGGTGGTTTTTCTGTAAGCCGTTTATATGAGAGGTGATCCTAGAGAGTTCCAGCAGAGAAAGGGAAGGGAGGCAGCTCGTACAGGGCATATTAATGAAGATGCTACTACTACGCCTATGGGAACAGGGGCTTCCCTCCCACTGCAGCATGCCTCAGAGGTATCCCACCTAAGGGGCAAAAAAGCAAAACCTTTGCTGGGTTATGAATATGTAGACAATTTTTTCTAAAGGTATGTCTTATCTTTATTAATAGTAACCAATACCTATTTAGTTCACAATTTACAAAATTCTGTGTATTATCTCATTTAATTTCCTTCATTCTTCTCACAATATTTTTAAGTTAAATTTATTGGGCACCACTGGTTAATAACATATGTTTCAAGAGTACCATTCTATAATACATCATCCATATGTTGCATTTTGTGTTCCCCACTCAAAGCCTGGTCTCCCTCCTTCACCAGGTATTTGACCTCCCTTTTCCTCTTCATCACCCTCTCACCCCCTTGGGCCTCTGTCGTCTGTGTCCTTGCATTTGTTTGTTTTGTTAAAGACATGTCAAAGTGTTTCTAGCTGGAAAGGACCTTAGAGGGCATTTATGCCAACCTCCACTTTTACAGATGAGAAAACTGAAATCCAGCGAGGCCAAGTCATTTGGTCAAGGTCACAGGCCTATTTAGTACGCTGGGACCAGAAGCAAGTTCTGATTAGAGTTCAAGTGCTTTTCTAACTTACTATTTTTTCTTTGTTAGTCTTATTCTGAATGTGCTTTACTACTGAATTCTTTATGTTCCTAAATTGCCCCATTCCCATCTTTGTCTAAAAGTAACAACATTGATTACTCCTTATACTCTACTGTAGAATTTGAACGGGGCAAAGATTATGCTTCCCCCATGCTACAGGTGGGAAAACTGAAGCTCAGGGCAATGCACCATAGTCTCCAAAGTTAAAGGTTATTTATTTGTGAAAGACAGGAAATAATTTATGTGAAACACTTAATAAAATTAACTTACTATATGTATAAAAAGGATTAGCCTTTAATGTTAATGTTGGAATTAGGCCAATAATATTGACAAGAACGAACTATGTAGATTTTATCCATGCTGTAAGGACACAGTTTGCATAGATAGCCAGACCCTAGAAAAGAGATATCTCCCACATCCTGGGTAGTGTTCATGTCTGTTGTTGTTCTCTGGAAGAAAGATTTCTACTTTTTAAATGTTAGGTCAGTGTTCACTCATTTATGAAATAAACATTGGCTATAGACACTGGGGATGTAAAAATCTAGAAGTCATCTCCTCTCCTCATTTCTTTCTTTATATCATGCCCACATTCAAATTCACAGCAATCATGTCAGCTATGTATGCAAATTGCATCAATTAACTCCTAATCCTACTGTCTCCTTCAGTCAATTCCCTATCGAGCAGCCGAATTAATTTTTAAAAACATAAGTTAGATTATGTCATTGCTTTGCTTAAAAGCCTCCGATGAGAGGTTCAGTTTGCAAGATGTAGAGTCCTAGAGATGGATGGTGGCGACGATTGCACAATGAGAATGTACTTAATACCGCTGAACAGTACACTTAAAAATGGTTAAGATGGTAACTTTTATGTTATGTGTATTTTACCGTAGTTTTTAAAAAAGAAAAATAGTCATACTAAAATAAAATAAAAAGTCTCTGATGGCTTCCTGTTGCACCTACAATAAAACTCTGGCTCTTTAATTTAGGCCTCAAGACCCTGCCTGGGTCTATGTCCCTCCCCACCTGAAAGACACTTGGAGAAGTGGTTCTGCGGGTCATCTGGCATAACTCTCCTTGTGCTCTGCTTCCTGTTCTTCTCATGTACAGTTTGTTGCCTCCAGGCCCGTACCCTTGCTGTTATGTCCTCTAGGATCACCCGCCCCTCATATCTTCTCAAGTGTTCTCAGTCTTTCTGACTGTTCTCTTGTGGTCCTCTTTCCTGAGTGACTCTGTCACTTCACTCTCATGTTGCATTTCTTCATAACTTTTGCCACTGTTTGTCTTACTTATGTTTGTGTGTACCTTTGTTTACTTGTGTGTCTTCCCACAAGAAAGTCAACTCTATGAGAACAGGGATCTTGCTGTACGTATCCCTAGTGGCAACAGGGGTGCTTGGCACATAGTAGGTGGTCAAATATGTATTGAATAGTGAATGGAGATATGGTCCCTTCCCTGAAGGACCTTGTAGTTTCTGATCCTGAGTCTCAGGAGCCCTGAGTTGTGACTGTGAACAAGGTCTCTGAGAGCCTCTCAGCTAAGGCGCACATAGAGAATGGGCAGCTAGTTCTGCCCAAAATAAAATGACGTGGGGGAGGAGAGAATGATGTTGGGGGCAAGAGTCAAAAACACATGAAGTGTTTCCTCTCATTCTATATCCCTCTCCATCTAAAAGAAAAATAAGAGAAAACAAAAATATAGCTACATATCAGTAGCCAGGCATGAACCCTGCTCAAGCCAAGCTTAAAGTGAAAATTGTGTGAGATATCATATATCACATTCCCAGAAATGCCTGACTCCTCTAGACCATTTGCTCTTTGAGGGTCCATTATGAGCACTCAATTGTATTAGTCAATAAGACTGTGTTGCCAAAATGAGACCAAAATCTTACCAAACTCTCTGTCATTTCAGAATTATCTTCTCTGGCATGAGTTTCCCAATGACAATCAAAGCTCACCCTTTCCATCTGGCTGTCATACTGCAGGTAGTTTTGTGGGTAACTGAACTTTCATGTGCATATTTCTTATTAATATTTTTCATGGTAAATATAGGAAAAGTTATATAGAGACTTATGATAATAGACAGATTTTCTGTGCTTGACATGGGAAATCATACTTCCATATAATCAGGAAAATCTGATTATTTTCTGACTAAGGTAACAATATATGCTGATTTTAGAAATGTGGAAAACTTATAACAGAAAACCAAAAACTTGTAGTAAGTAAGAAAACAGACATCGCCCATAATCCCAATGTCGACATAAGAAAGTCCAAACCTGTAGATAATTCTTTATGAGTTTTTTGAGCCAGACTGATCTCAAATGTTCTGGAGAATAACAATTTTTCAGCTGCTTGTATGCATTTGAAATTAAAGAGAGGGCATAAGAATGAGGGGAGAAAGCGAAGCGGGTATAACTTCGGTATTTCAAAGATGCATTAACCTAGATGCCAGAGAACAGTGGGCAGGGCTGGCTTAAAGCCGCTCACTGCAAGTTAATATAACGGGTCTGACTACACACCGTGACCTGCCCAGTTAGAATTTTATGATCAGATCATCCTGTGAGGTTACTTTCCATAGAACCCCTTTTCTGTCCTCGCCACCAACCAGAAATTACCACTGTAACATTTTGGTAAATTGCTTTGTAGTCTCTTGTAGGCATTTTTTTTTTTTTTTGATAGTTTGTCAAAGCTTTTCTTTGAAAAAGTTGGAAACTATTTAGGTGAAGAATCAGAAAACATCTCCTAGTATACCTAAAAAACAAACTCCAAATGAACTTATAAGTATTTTCAACATGGAAATGTTATTTCTTTTTACACACTCATATTGTGGAAATTTCCAAACATTTATAAAAGTAGAGCGAATATTCTAATGAACCCGATGTAAACATGACCCAGGCTCATGGCTAATCTTATTTATCTGTAAGTATTTTGGATATCTTCAAAAGATCAGGACTTAACAAAAATTACCACAACACTGTTATTACACCTAAAAAGTTTAAAGTAATCCATTAATGCCACCGAATAACCAATCATTAGGAAAATTATAAAAAATAAATAAATCAGATGCTGACTACAGGGTGGTAGTATAGAAATTGTTGGCTAATAAGATCATATGCCGTCTATTTAACAAATTGTATAAAGAGCCACAAGAAAATGTTAAAAACAATAGAAATTCACTTAATGCTTGTCTCATGTAGATAAATATTAATGTTATTAAGCAATCTGACAATTTATATTTAATAACTATTGTTTCTTTATTCCCAGTGCTTAATTTAAAATGCAGTGTTCACCTATAACAAATGAATTTTTAAACTCTTTTATGCATTTTTGGGGCTAGTACTGAGTGAAAGTATGAATCTGGATACATAAAAGTTCCCATAGATCCCATGCTGTGATACATTTAATACATTTTCCTAAAACTACAAATGTTTTACCTGAAGGAGAATAAAATGAGATCATGGTAGGCATATGCTCTGTTAAATTAATAAAGCAGAGTAAATCCATTTATTCTTAGGGTTTATTTCAGTAGTAGAAATAATTTTTATGCTATTAAAGGCACATGTTAACTTTTAAAGGAAAAAAAAGCAAAACCTGAAAATCTGAATAATTTATTTGTATTACAGTTATTGTGAGAGTATAACAGAGAGGCTTCAGGGAACAGCAAGAAAGTTTACTTGACTGAGAGACTAGTTTATCAGGAATGAGAGTGAGCGGGGATGGCAGAGAGTAAAAGGAGTCCAGTTAATGAAGCCTATGGTCAGGAATTCCAGCTTGGCTCCATTACAGATTTCTGAAAAGAGAAAGGACCTGGTCAGGGGTGCTTTGAACTGGCTGATTCAGGTTGCTGGCTTGTCACACTGTCAAGTGGACAGGAAACTAGGCTGTGAAATAGGAGAGGTTCTGGCTGCCTGGGTGGGTGGAAAGGAATGAGAGGGGCTGAGAGAGGGAAGGGAAGGTAAAGAAGGGAGCCTGGATAGGGAAGGACAGGAGGCCGAGGTTTCGAGCCTGGAGGCATGGGTGGATCGTGGTGCCAAGGTTGGTCTTGGGAAAACTGGGTTAGGGGAATGTTTTGGTTGAGATTCTGAAACTTGCTTTATTTCTGTTGTTGGTTAATCATTGCAAGGTAAGTGAATAAGTTACATGCTCCTTTGCAGAATTTGAGACTTTTCACCAAGTTGGCCTCTTCTGGGCAATCCCTTCATGGTTGGGCAGTTAAAGATTTAGAAATTGTTGAGATAGTCAAAGATCAGATGATTAAAACTCATAATGGCAGATAAAGTCCTAATAACTAGAATTTCCCCTTGCCTCGTCTCCCTCACCAGGAGGAAAATCGGTGGAAGTTATTTAAGTAGCTTATGTAAAATATGACTAGAAAGAAAATGTTCCTCTTTGTTGACTGAGATAAGTAAAAATAACCATTTGTAAATATTTGCCCTTACCATTTTTATAGGGCAGTTGTTGTTTTAATCTTGTATTACCTGCAATTGCTGTGTGTTGATAATGAACTATTGTTTGAAAGGGCCATGGCTGGAGAGGCCTGCACTGAGACCATATTGAACTAATAGGTCAGAGAAACAGTTGTGGAAAATGTTAGTCTGTCTATGTTGTTGTTTCTGGAAGTTTTCATTCAAAATTATCAAAATTAAAAATTAAGATATTTAGCAGTACTGTACTTCATTATAAATGTATTTTACATACATTATGCATTAAGTTAATTTGTTTACTAGCCTAGAGGTGTAATTGCACTTTCCTTGGGAAAATATTTTCTTTGGTTAAAATAATCAAATTATAAATTTGGGCCCCAATTGGATATGTAGAAATGGAATAAATGTAAATCCTCTGTTCTAAATCTGTGTTAATTTTTAATTTGTTAAACAGGATTGAGATACTTTCATACCAATCATTTTAGTAGAACTGAAGAAGGTGGTATAGACACAGGACCAGAGTGCTAACTTAGAGGCCAGTTTAGAAAGCAGAAACATCATCCCTGAACAGAGAAAACAGTATCCCGAAGTCCATTGAGTAAATCTGTGCTCAACTCATAGGGATATGCTCTAGTTTTTAATCACAGCCCATTTAGTGTTATTTTAAACACCCAACATCATTGGTTATCTGATTTCCCATCCCACATCAGATTAGAGACAGCAAATTAGAATGAGTGGGATTTGTAGAAACAGGAATGATGGTGACAGTGTAGTGGCTAACAAGCTGATAGAAGAAGACAGATAGAAGCTGATAGAATCTACTACTTTAAAAAAAAACAGGTATTTGAAATGCCTGGCAATTCGGAATTTTTTTCCTTGTTATTAGTTTTTATTTATTTTCTAGTTTGGAATTTTATTTTTGAAATTTTTTATTGTAGGGCAAGGGTCCATAGTCCTAGACATGGACAGTGCCAGAGGACACTGCTGTGATACCACTGCTCTTAGTAATATCCCCAAATCATCCAGAAAAGTTCTGTGTATAAGATGATTGAAATCTTTCAAAAAATATTTCACATTTTTCTATCAGAAAATTAAATCTGAAATTAAAGTGACTGCACCTACGACAAGCACTTCAGTCATCTAAAATACTTCTGTGGAACACCGTTCTCCTGGATGAGGCTGAATAGATGAATTATACCCATAAATAGAAAGAAGCAGGATGAATTCATTTAATTTTACTGTTGGTTACTTTTCTTACCCACACTTCTCTTTGGGGACTTTTTTTCCTTTTTATGGGCTTATCTGTATATTTTATGTGTATGTACTGTTATATATAGGTGTATTATAGCACTTTCCTCACGTTCAAATTTGTAACAGGAAAGAACATTATGATTTGTGTTCTGTCTAGAATTCATCCGTCCACATGGCCAACCCATCCACCTCTGGGTACTGAGGTACTAGGTCCCTCCCCTGATGGGGCTCTATGCCCTATTCCTATTTCTGTCTGTACTGAACCTGTTACTGCAGATCCTGGCTTTTGGGGGGCAAGGTTTTGAGGTGTGTTGATTCTCACCCCTCCTTTCAGTCTTGTAATTCTTGATTACTGCCTAAAACAGAAACCCCTTACTCGGTATCACAGCCATTTTGTTGTTTCTTTCTATTGTTAACCACACGTTCAGCTCTGTCCCTTATCTTTTGAAACCCATGCTCGTTGTGTTCAAACTCTTATATCCTCAATCTCATCACCTTCCAAACATAACCTCTCACCCCGTGCCCGCACACTGCTTTTGGGAAGGCTTGTCCATTCATCCATTTAACAAATATCTGAGCATCTGCCATGTCCCAGGCACAGTCTCAGGTGCTAGGGAGACAGCAATTCACAAAACAGAAAAAGATCCCTGCCCCCAAGGAGCTTATATTTCTAGTGTAATTGGGGAGTTGGGGTTTTGACAATAAAATATAAATAGAGAATCTTTTTCTGAAATATATAAAATATATATAATGATTAAAAGTGCTGAAGAGAAAAACAAAGCAATGAAGACAGGCAAGTTCATGTTGGTGGGGGGATGGAAGGCAAGGTGACATTTTGTCAAAAATCTGAAGGAAGTGAAGCAATTGCCCTGGCAGATACCTTCAAGAAGAGAATTCAAGTTGTGGGAAGAGTGGATTCGAATGCTTTGAGGCAAGAGCATTTTTGGTGTGTTCAGGGATGGGCAAGATGCCCAGTGTGGCTGAAGCTAAGTAAGTGAGGAAGAGGTAAGGTCAGAGAGGTAGGGCCCAGATCCTAGAGAACCTACTATGGAAACTTTGACTCTTAGCGTGAGTGAAGTGGGAAGACACTGATTGATACATTTGAAACAGAAGTGACACAACGTGGGTGTTTTTGTTTTGTTTGGCTTTTTCTTGAATGTGAAGAATTCATTGAAGAGGGACAAAAGTGAAATCAGGGAGACCAGCTGAGAGACTCCTGCAGTGATTTAGATACGAGAGGACAGTGACTTGGACACCATTAGAATGAAGAGTGGTTGGGTTCTAGAAAATGTTGTGATGGGTTTGGTGTA